GGTAAAGGTAAAGGTTCCCTTGCTCGAAAGCAAGTTGAATCCGACTCTAGGGTTGCGGTGCTCATCTCCGTTTCAAAGCCAAGGAGCCAGCGCTGTCCGAAGACGTTTCCGTGGTCATGTGGCCGGCATGACTAAACACCAAGGTTGCCAATAGTGTACCGGATTCGCTTCAAAGTGCTGGTTCTTACCTATAAAGCCCTACATGGTCTGGGTCCAGCCTACCTGAGGGACCGCCTTTCGCCGTTTGTTCCCCCAAGAGCACTACGGTCTGGGGCCCAAAATTCGCTAACTATTCCGGGCCCCAGAGACGCAAAACTGGTCGCTACGAGGGCCAGGGCCGTTTCGGTGGCGGCCCCTATTTGGTGGACTGAGCTCCCGGAGGAGATCCGGGCCCTGCAGGATCTGATGCAGTTCCGCAGGGCCTGCAAGACGGAGCTCTTCCACCAGGCTTTTGAGTAGGGGCTGCCGCCGCCCTCCCCCCGCTATATTGTTATCATGGGGGGGTGGAAGAGGCCCTAGGAAGGAACATCTGAACTCCTTAACATCTGAGTATTGAAGCCACTGAATGTCTACCGGGAACTTCTGGACATGGTCCGTCATCTTTCTGGGGTTTTGGAATTGAAGATCATTGAGCACTTTATTTGTATTGGGATTGGTTTTAAACTGTATAGTATGCTTTTAAATGTATAGGAATATTATGTTTTATTGTTGCAAGATTTCTTGCCTTGTAAGCCGCCCTGAGCCCTACGAAGGAGGGCGGGGTATAAATTTGATTAATAAATAAATAATAAAATAAATAATAATAATAATAATAATTGATTATCTTCTCCACAGATCTGCACCCCAGATTTGGTAGTGTTTTTGTCCTGCTCAAATCAGCGACTGAAAGAACGGCTAATAAAACGTGCTGAGCAGCAGGGGTAAATAATAATAATAATAATAATTGATTATCTTCTCCACAGATCTGCACCCCAGATTTGGTAGTGTTTTTGTCCTGCTCAAATCAGCGACTGAAAGAACGGCTAATAAAACGTGCTGAGCAGCAGGGGAGGCCAGATGACAACCTCAAAGCTACACAGAGACGCCTAGTGAATTTTAAGCAGAATACTGTTCCGCTGGTTAAATATTTCCAGGAAAAGGATCTGATCATGACTGTAAGTCTCCAATCAGTGTATAAACTTAGTGAACTCATTTATCACTAATGATGCCTAAATTCTACACACACACACACACACACACACACACAAGACTCAAAATTGTGAGTCTTTTATTTTTACCCCAAGACCATTTTTATTTGTTCTACTTTACTTCATTTATATGCTGTCTTTCTCCACAGTGGGAGAAACACAGCTTACATCATTCTCCTTGCTTCCATTTTACACTCACAACAACCTTGTGAGATAATTTAGGCTGACAGTGTGTGACTGGCCCAAGGTTACCCATCAAGCTTCCATGGCAGAGTGGGGATTCAAACCTGGGTTTCCCAGATGTTTATCCCAGTAAATCTGTTTCTTTTCACTGTGTAATGTTTCTTACTTGATTTTGGTCTTTGCCTGTTGAACACTGTAACCTGCATTATGTGAATTTATCTGTTAGTGGAGTATTTGAGATTAGAAGACCTAGCCCAGTGTAAGGCCCTCAGTCCTATGATTCATCACCATTTTCAGACCATAGCTTAGCCTTTTTCAGTTTTGCCAAGGCCATGTGTAGGTTGTCTGCTCAAAGACCAAGAAAGTTTGTTTCAAGGCTGCAATGTCATTTGTTTGAAAACTGACATATCTCTTGGGAAAGCATGTCTTCAGAATCTCAGAGAAACTTTCCATTCCATTTCAGGGATAGTGATTCATTGATCCTTAGCTGCAGTAAACTAACAGATATCCTGTTGAGTCACTCAGGATGTTTACTAAACCTGTCTGTTTAGCTTTTGCTCATATTTTAACGTTATACCTTGCCTTGATGGGGAAGTGGCATTCGTACACTGTTCAGAGATACAAAATAATGGTTCAGTACAGCACGTGGTAAATTGTGCTTACGTCTAATTGTTTTTACAAAGTTTTTAACAGGTGGCCTCTGTTGGGTTTGTAATGAGATACATGCGAAGGCACCATTTGTGTTCCATGTGCATGACCACTACTATTTCCATGAGGGCAGTGGGATTTTTTTAGCTGCCATCTTTTGGGAAATTAGGGTACCACAGGTATAGCATCTACAGGGAAGTGCTGGTTTACACAAACAGTGCATTCAGTAACATATGGCATGTCTGTTAGGCATGCCATATGTATTTCCTGGATGATCACATGAGGATTGTTGTTATATTATCCTGCCTTCACACGCTCTGTTATCAACAGGAAAACAACTCTGTACAGTTTGGGTAGAGATGTGCAAGAAAGAGATGATTGGATTTGGAGTGGGGTTATATGCCATTTTGAAAACTTGAGTCAGATTCTCTAATAATAGAATTAAATCTAGTAATTTTAGGAAATGAATGCACGAAATCATTTCAGTAGGAAACACATTTCCACGTGTTGACTCCTGCCTCTTTTCCATTTGGGATGGAATTCTAGAAGCGGTATGCGTTTGGGTATACCTGAGCTGAAAATAAACCCAAAAATTACTGCTTTGGGTCAGCTCTGGTATATGTGAAGTGACTCATAACACTCCTGAAATTCCAGGAGTAATGGTAATTAATTTCACAGAATTTCAAGATGGTTTCAGGGTGGGAAGGGAGAAAAGAGGAAGCCTGACCAGCAAACAACTATTGGAGCAATAGTTCCTCTAATTTCTCCCCTCTACTGAGTGGAGCAGTTCACATCCTGAGCAGAATATAACTGCTGTAATCTTAAAATGGGCAGTGCAAGACCCTGTGTGGCTCCAGATCACTGTTGAGCAGGGCTTCCTGTGTTAATGAGTGGCCACTCACATGCACAGCTTAGAGGGAATAGTGGTTTGGAGACTCCCTGTCCCTTTAAATTTTAAAGGGTTATTATTTGCTAGGAGAGCAGACCTAGGGCCAGGTCTGGTCTCATAGAGAGTAATAATCTTTAAAATTTAAAGGGACCAGGCACAGCCAGACAGCTGCTCCAGTGCCAGAAAAATGCAGGTACCTTGGCAAGGGCACTCTTCAAAATTTGGGATAACAAAGCAAGTGCCCAACTGGCAATCTGGATCTAAAATAATGCCCCCAATTTTTTAAGTATGCACCCCTAAATTCTAAAGATGGCACTTCTTACCTGAGGAACTTTCCTCACAACTTTCAGGCAGGTAGAAGAAAGCATCGCCAATTTACAGACAACAGTTTCTCTCACAGTGATGTCTTGGGTAGGCATGAGTTGGCATGAGTCAGCTTTCTCTTCCTTTCCCAGAAGTCTTAAGCAGTGAGGGTTGTGATTTGGCTGTTTACAAAAACGGAGTGCCTGAGCAAGGGGACCTTAATCCTACTGTCCTCCAGTGCTCCGTTTCTTTCAGTATTTTTCTCCCAGCTCAGGTGATGTCCCTGCTAGATGTTTGATGGGAAAAAGTACTTTTCAAGCGCCAGAGTAAGATATGGGGATGGAGCAGGGTTTAGTTCCCTTTTCTGTCTTCTACCCCTACTGTAGCTAATAGTTGCTGAGAGAGAGAGGAAGGATTGCTTACTTAATACTTATACATTAAATTACAGACATTTAGTGCTACCAGTTTCTAAATCTGCAGTTCTGTCAGACATAGATAATTGGAATCTTCTTCATGACTGATCTCTTGCATCTCTTCTGGTTTTTGATGTATCTCTGTGTGCCTGTGAAGCCTTAGCTTCTGTTTTTGTTGTTGTTGTTGTATAACTCGATAAATATTCCCCATCTGTCTCTGGGCAGGTGAGCTGCCTATTTCTGGGAGGAGGGGGAAACTGGAGCGTCTGCCCCATTCCCCCCTGGCTCTGCAGCCCCTAGCTTGTCTGCCAACTCATACAAGTGAAGTGTTTCTCTACCACTGCCTGGGAAATTAAAACCACTGAGAGTAGCTATCAGACTGAGAGGCTTGCACCTGCTTCCAAAATTTGGAAATAATTTTAATTGAATGCAGAGCCTTTTCCAGTATTTGGCTCAGGTTTTCATTACTAACTTTCCAACTTCAGATACCAAGTTTATAGTGCTGTAGAATATGATTTGAATGGCAGAAGACAGTGGATTAAATTGGTCCATTTTGCTAATTAGTATGAATCATGATTTTGCTTGGAAAGGATAATACAGCTTATTTGTTAATGAAGCTTCAAAGTGTGCTTGCCAAATACAATACTTATCTTCAACAATTATGGTATTAGGAAATGCAACCAGAAACTTTCATTAAAAGAAAGTAAGGATCAGCAAGTATTGAACAGATACTATTTTATATTTGGAAGTTACACTATCAAAATTAGATACAGCATTGCACTATAAGGACTCTTTTAGTTAATATATTCTTGTGAGAAATGAGATAAGTTGTTTTAAAAGCAGAAAGAAATCCCAGGTGTAAAATCGTATTAAATTTAAGTTTCTAGCTACTGCATAAGAATGTTAAAAAAAATGCAGAGCAAGCAGGTAAGCACAACTCATTGACATATTATTTCAAAAGTAAGCTAGCATCATATCAACTACAAAAGACTTTAAACTCGGGTTAGGACTGTTGATTTTAACTTGTACCATTCCCTTTGGTAATATGTTTTATTCTTTTATACTATACTGTGTTTTATGGCAGCGCACTCTTAGTTTGGTTTTAACAAATGTAAAGTTTATATTGTTAGCACCTTTTACCTTGCTGAATTTTGGAAATTTTACTATTTGGCCATTGTAATTTATTTTTTCTGGTTTTATATTGCTGGCTAATCGCTGTTACAATAAAATTCAATTCAATTTAATACTGCATAAGAATGTTTAAAAAAATGCAGAGCAAGCAGGTAAACACAACTCATTGACATATTATTTCAAAAGTAAGCTAGCATCATATCAACTACAAAAGACTTTAAACAACAAAAATGTGGTTTTCTGGCTTGGAGCTTACAAAAAGAGAATACACAATATTATATTATTTCTTTTCAAACACTTTATTGTTCTGGTACTAATTGTTTTACACATTTGCCTTTATAAAGTTTGGAATACAGTTTAAAAAGCCATTCCAAATAACATGCTTTAATCTATATATCTAATTCCGAAGTCGCCCCCTGGTGTGCGGATACTTATTTCTGCACATCGGGGGGACCTGGAGGGGAGGGAGAGTTTTGTGCACACGTGCGGAGGTCCCCAGTTGTGCACAAAAATCTGAAACCCTGTAAAAAATATCGGGGGGATGTTTAAACCCCCCCGAAACTGACAGAGCGTCCCCTGCGCATGCGCAGGGAACGCTCTGCAGCTGGCCTCCTGCCGCCGCCGCCGCTGCCGCCGCGGAGGAAGGGGGAAACAGAGCAGCGAGGGGCAAGCGCCAAGCCGCTCGGCCCTCACTTAGGTGCCGGGATGGGGGTGGGGGAGAGAGCAGCAAGAGCTGAGCGGCCCTCACTTAGGTGACGGAATGGGGGGGGAGTAGAGAGGGCCGAGAGGAAAGCTGCTCGGCCCTCGCTTCGGTGCCGGGATGGGGGGGGAAGAGAGCAGCGAGGAGCTGGGGGGGGGAAGGCAATGGGGGGGAGATCAAGGGTTGGGTGGAGGAGACGGGGGGAACCGGTGGGATGGGGGGGTACTTACCTCCTCCTGCTGCTTCCTCCTCTGCCTCCCCCCCTGCGAGTATCGCGGGTCCGCCCCTTGTTTTTACCTAATATTAGGGTTGCCATATGCTCACTGGAGGCAGGACATCTATATGCCCCCAGTGGGCGTTGCCCGCTGGCCCTCTGACAGACAGTAGGAGGAAAAAAATTAAGCAACACACCATCAGTGACAGCATAACATCACTTCCAAGGAAAACCCAGAAGTGATGTCATGCCTCTTTACAAATCACCAGAAACTCTTTGTTTTTACCACTGAATTTTTGGCAAGTCCTAAATAATGTGGCGTCACTTCTAGGTTTTCCTGGAAGTGACATCATGCCATTGTCGAAGTTCACCCCTTCATGTCCTTGCCCACATGTCCCCCACTGGATGCCTGAATACAGTCAATACAATAGGAGTGAATACACTGTATCACACACAGCTGCCAGTAGTCAAAGAGCTGAGAGTAGC